AGAATCAGTCCGTGCCAGTCGCTGCTTCCAACTCGGGCATGTACCCACAGGCCAGCCTGGGTTGGTGGCCAAGAGTGCAAAGCTGACCGCGCAAGCATGGAGATGTTTTACGCTCCTAAGTCGGTCCAACTACACGGACACTCACACAAATCGCGCGCAGTCTCATCCGCCAGCGGCACAAATATCTGTTCCCGATTGGCCGCGTAGAGACTAACTCGGTGTCGGCTTGACGTGCTGGGGTACTGCCTGAAACTGCTGGCAGCATGTCGGATCTTATGACTGTATCGAGGCTCTGTTCATGCCAGCCGGTCAGCCCTGCTCGATGTCGAAACGAATCACTGTCCCCGCAGCATGCAGAGTTAAATGGGGAGGGGGAGCACGACCTATTAGACTCCTCGCTTGCAAGGCAAGATACTTCTGATGCGGAGCTCCTGACGATGTAACATTTCGGTTTCGTGCTGTGAGTAATGGTCGAGGCAACTGCATTTTTTACAAGATCACTCTGGTGTTTCTCATTCAATGCTTGACCTGCGGAGGGATATTAACCCCGGACATCGAAAAATTACGATGACGACTACAGTAAAGAAAGATTTCGGTGTTCCTATGTCCGGCCGAATATCTCCATGTTACGGGACGGGACTGGCCGGCTTGATTCCGCGAGTTTGCAATGCGATTTTAGATTTGAGGAGTCAGCGGCTTGCCGTGCTTTGACAGCCAGTACGTGCATTAAAGTCCGCAAAGAAGTCTCAACAGCTGAATTGCGGGTCTTGCCTTTATGTTGGCAGCTTGCGGCTTGTTCGCCATGAGGTTTGGGGCTGCAGCGCCGCTTGAGGCTTGGAATTTTCTGTGGACTAAGACCTGAAGAGCCTGAAGCTGTATGGTACACCAGTACGCTGAGCCCAGACTGTGAAAGGCTCCATTTGGATGATGCAAGGGCTTTCCTGGAAGAGTCGAACCACCTCCTCTTTGACTTTATCTGGCTGGATCGCCGAAAAGGGTGAACGGTGATGGTAATGCTCATGTCATGTAAGTCATGAACTTGACCCTGTACATCTGCAGGATGGCCTGCTAGACTTTGTGCCGCCGGTGAATGGAAGTGTGAAGGCGCATCAGAGAAGTCTCGCCTCAGCTGCTGCGCTTCTTGCGCACCTGCGCAGGATGGCATCGAAAGTTTCCTGGCACTTCTTTGGCCTCAGGTCCTTCCCGGAGGCTACGTTTTGTCACCTGCCGATACACCGAGCAGACTTCCCAGTAATGCGACAACATTTTCATGCAACTATTTGTCCTGCAAGTGGCATGCCGTGATGCAACGACTCGAAGTATATTCTGCCCAGAACCCGGACTTGGTGTCTCGGATTCCTGATGGCCCCCCGGCCCAACCATCGCATGTGCACTCTCTGCAAAACAACTTCGCTGGTCTGCGGCGGAGTCTTCTCCTCCGACAGCGAGTAAAGCGCAGAGAAAGGGCAGCAGGGTGGGGGAGCAGAACGCACGAGACACATCGGGCTTCTTACCTGCTGCAAGCTTTGGGCGACAATCGTGTGACAGGACAGTTTTCGTTTTTTTCTCTGAGTCTAGTGTCGAGAAGAATCGGGAGGACAGCTTTTCAAGGAAGCCAAAACGTTTCCGCGTTGTGAGGGCATGCAAGTTGCAAGCAAGCGGTTCACAAGTGTGGGCGCGTGTGCGCAGATACACATGTTTGCCAGAGATCCCAAGCGCAGCCTGGATGCCAAGGCTTGCTGCATGCGACGAGGAACAAGCCAAGCACAGCAAGACCGCACTGCAGTAAGAGATGGACCGGGTAGGTTTTCCGCGGAGAGCAGTCCTTGACAAATGCGGATAAAGCGGGTTGCCCGGCGTCATTGGCAACCATCTGTAACAAGGTAATTCCTCGTACACCAAGGGTAGTCTAGAGTCCAAAGTCCGGGGGTTCAGGTCGGCCCGCCGGCGAACGGACCCGAAAGACGCGAAAGCCAAACTGAAGCCCTGCAGAGAGCGACGGAGCAGGAGGAGAGCGAAAATGTCTCAGCATCCTCTCGCTGGAGAGTCACCCAAGGCTCCACAGCACTTTGACGAACAGCGCAGTGCGGGAATGGATCGATGCGGCGCTGTTCTGATCACCCATCATGATGCTTGTCCTCGACGGAGTGGTGTAGCACCTGAAACACACTTTCTCAGGTAGCCAAGACGTCGCAGGGCACGCCGGGTGCTTTGCTGAGTCTGCTGGAGTGTCCTTGCTGCAATGTAATTGCCGAGTCGTTGGAGTTTGAAGAGGCATAGAACGGCCTGTGTCGACTTGGATGCTGCTGCGTGCTTATCTATGTTGCTTTGCATCCAGGCCCCACAAGAAGTTTCAGAACTCTGTCAGCATCTTGCAGAAGAGGCAGCATGCCACAGTTCATTCATGATCAGAAAAACCGTTGCTTATCAGTTCTCAGTGCTCTAGTGGAGCGCTAGTGTACTGGATTATTCGCAACTTTGTCGTTGATCGCTAGTTACGCAGTTGTCTACAACATAAGTAACACTGCAGCCAGGGATTGGGGACTAAAGTATGACTAAAGAGGTTTAAAGATTTGAAGAGTGTCTCTCTCAACTTCGAGGATTCAGCTGTGCTCCTTGCTAACGAGCCTGCGATTTGACGGCCACGCCAAAGTCGAAGCGCCTGCTATCTGCTATCACCCCGGCCCCTTCCAGCCCTCCACGCTTAGGCTGCTGCCTGCTGCTTCCGCAGAAGCTCTAGGATCTGTTGGTGTTGCTTGTGATCACGATCTGCACACTCGAGCCGAGGGTGACTTTGAAAGCACCTACCATGGATGGCGAGCGAGAATCGAACGAATCACAGAATTTTCTTCCCAACAGGTGCACTGTTCCCAAAGGCTTGGTAGTATGAGATCACTCTGGCGCCCACGGGCAAGCCCGGAGAGGGCAGGCACAGATGCAAGCACCACCATTCGCAGCTCCAACAGCCCTTCCAACAGCAGCGAGAAGCCGTGAAAAGTTGGAGTAGCCGAGCACCGATTGAAAACCACAACCCTCAATGACACAGGCGGCATCTTTAAGCAAGACTTTAAACTTGCGCTTGTTGAGAAGGGGGAGATACGTGGTCGACTGAGACTGCCTTTACTGTCCCAACCGACTTCGTTGTTCATCCAGCCGATTTTGCGAGGTCAGATGATTTTTCTGAGCCGATCTATTCGAAGTTGCCGTGAGCACGAAAAAAGATACTGCTGAGCGTGTACCGTTCATTCATTCCAAGGGTTGAAGCTCATGAAGCTCATCCGGTGTTCTTGAGAGGAGAATGGAAAATTCGCCTGGGAGTAAGCACTTCGCAGTACACCTTGGGGGAACCGCAGGTTGCTTGGCCTCAGTTTCAACCGGGTCAATTATGAGTAACAGTTTTTTTGTTTTGGGTTGAAAACCTGCAAAAGGTGGCATGCCGACTGGCACGCGCCTCTCAAAAGACTCCAGGAAAGTTGGCAGATGCTAGCAGATGCAAAATCGGAGCGCACCTGATCGACCGCTTCGCTTGTGCTTCGAGTGTCAGCATCGGCTGCATTGCTACATTGCTGAAGCCTGATCTAGGATGGGCTTGACATCTGCGCATGGCTCAATTCGATTTCAGGAACTGTGCATGGCGTCCCATGCGCACAGAAACATTGGCACAGGCAAGGCAGGTCTTGGCAGTCGTGAGCACTGGTCAGAAGACTGTACCTATAAAGACATGCAGGTGTCATGAAGTGTGGTGTACTTACCGATGTACTTGCTATCTCAGCTCAAACACATTCCGCTGCAGCCTCCGATGGTTTGCGTTTCGCAGCTTCCAGAACTCGTTGGTCATCCATGTGCAGCTCTTGGATGCCCTGTGCCTTCCACTTTTCACAGGGGCTCCGCTCCGACTCGACATGCATGTTCCACAACAGCGAACTCACAAGCTGCTCATCGGACAGGACGAAGAATTTCAGAGTGTTCACAATTGGCCAGAGCTTGCACATGCTTTCACGGTTCTCAACAGCAAAGCAGTGCCTCATTCAGGTTTTGCTGGAGCTTGGTGCTCAGACCAGAGAAGCCCGCTCGCGCAGCTCAGCGTCCACAGAGTTTGAACCGAGGTTTACGACCCAAGCCTCTTAGAAACAGAGGCCCTGAGCGTGCGAGCCAAGAAAAGAGCCGAGTCTCGAACTCGGATGCCATGTCTGTATACCTGGACTGCCACTACGCAGATGCACGCAACCCCTGTTTGTTCTTTCATCTTGCTGCCCAGGTCCGCCAAAGTATCGGATTGGAGAGGAGGACCTGGCTTCAGCCAAGTGGTAATGTTAGCCGCCTGCTTGATGCTTCGAGCTTTGCAAACATGGTGGGCATGCACAATCCTGAAGTTCACTGCCTGCAAAGCCTGCAGAGAAATTCTTGCCACTCGGAAACTTGAAGTGCCTCAGGTGTGCAACAAAATCCTTGTTTTCTCCGCGCGTATCGTGCGCAGTTGCAACTGCCCCTGGAACCTTCTTGATCCAACCTGCTTGCCACTCATGCCTGGCCATAACCTAGGCCGCTCCTAGGCACTTGATGTTATCTTGTTGCGCCAGTGCTTTGAAGATGTTGTACTGTAGTCAAGTATTGAATAATTGTCTTGAGGCGTTTCTTCAATGTTTCCAAGGAAAAGAATTAATGCCGCTCATTTTAGCCCTCAACTGTCTGGAACGAGTGGTGTAGGTGCCGAGGCGAGCTAGGCCAGGGGTCAGATCCACGGAAGTCTAGCTTCAATCCAGGTTCGGTGCAGTCCGCCCGGCCCAGAATCCAGCTTACAATTTGCCGACAATTCCCACCCACATGCCAAACTAAGACACAAGACTACGTCTTGGAAAGCCCATGAGCGTGGGAATATGTGCATTGCTGCAAAGCTAGAAAACTTGAACGATCAAACAGCCAATATCGCATGGCTTGCCTGTTTGTCCTTGTTCCTTCTCACAGATGCTCTTGGGAAGGAAATGCCGCCCGATTTTTTTTCCGCCTATGTCCTGTCCGGACTTGACCGTGTTCGGCTCCAGCGTACCGCAAGGAAGGACAGGATCCGGTGCAGGAAAACAGCCCAAAGAACCACATGGTCACACTGCCTGGACTGGAGGCTACAGTATTCTTGCCCAGGTTCTCTGAATAGGTTCTGATGGTTTCCGAAGTTTGAATTATTTGGTCAGTTTTCAGTTAACAGTGATTCATGGTGATATCGCATGCTGCAGTCCCGCAGCTGAAGAAAACCCCTCTTGTAGACACCTGGGGATCTTGCTGCGGATTGGCCCAACTTGTCCCATACCTGTGGTGTCCACACCACCTGTTCGCATCCGCAGAGAAGATGCTGAACTCTGCGTGCGGTCCCCTTGCGATGTGACTGTGGAAGACATACTTTGCGGGAATGCGACGCAGACGAAGGCAAAGCAAGCAAGATGTGCCTGTATGTGTAGTTGTGTGGTTGGGGTTCATGATTGCTTGCCAGAGCAAAATACTTATTCCATGCGCTTATTGCATTTACCTGCACCGCCTTGCAGGACCAGTGTCATTTCGGAGGCAAGAACACTACCCGCGAACAGCATGTCTTGGCCTGCATGCGTTGGGTAGGCTGACTTGGAGCAAGTCAGATGGGATGCTGGGCAGTCTTGCCGTCTTGTCTTGCTTTGAGCGGGAGCCACTGTGCTTGCACACGTACTCAGAAGTAGTTTGTTGTATGCGTCGCTGCGTCGCATATTTCATAGACTTTGATAGTTGCGCATACGTTGTTTGGCGGCCAGGGAAGACGTTGCTGGGATCTCGGCAATGCACCACAGTGTCAATCGCACATTGATCTGGGAAGGAGGTCTCCGAGCCCTACCGTCGAATCATCGAAGAGGCCAAGAGCTGCATCGGATTTGGAGCTGCTCGAGGCGCTGCATTTTCCACGTTTCCCACCGAGCTTACATGCAAAAACACTTGGCCAGCGAAAGTGTGGCGACTCCAGGCAGCAACGACAGAGTGTCTGACAGTTGACGAAATGCCCAAGACGTAGCAACTTAACTGTTGCCGGGTCGACAATGGGCACATTGGCTTTGACTTCTGTAGTGTACTAGAATCGCCACACCGGTTCTCCCTGGCTCCGACAACTGCCTCGATCGCGACGAAGCACCTTCTTGGCACACGTGAATTCACTTAACATCCCTGCACATGTCGGGGCTGCCAGTTTGCCTGGTGGTCCTAGCTCAGCTTTCTGATGGGCTGTTGGGGCCAGACGCCGCCAGACTCGAAGTGGTGGCGACAGCACAGGAAACACCTTAAGATGATGATCTTGATCTTTGACTCTGAGTTGATGATTTGAGTATGTGATATATCAATATCTGTTGACTTGATTTTGGACGACTGGGCCCGCCTGGAGTGGCAGGTAGCTTTCCCGAGGAGTGGCAGCCTTACGCCATTGGTGGATTTTCTCGTTGTCGTTGGCAGTTCTGGTCCTTGAGCGGCCTTGAGTCTTGAGGTGGGACGCGCAACTTCTTGTTGACTGCGGAGCAACTGCTGCCGCCATCTCAATAGGGTCGGACCTGGAGAGATGCACACTGCCACAGCTCAGGAGGGCCAAAGAATCGTTCTCTTCACTCCAGGGTTTTTACAGCCTGACAGCTCAGAACTGGCCTGCCTCAACTTTGCGGCTTCATCATCTGTCGCACTGCAGACCGATTCTTAACGATGCCGATGAACTCGACCGTGCTTTCCACTTCCTTCTGTTGCCAAATTCTCAGATTTCTTCTTGCTCATGCTGCATGTTCCGGTTGTTGACATGCAGAAATTCAGGCACATGGATGAAATGGCGATGCAGAAGAAGTATGTCTTTGTGTATTGCTGCCTGGGCATGGTGCCGACCTAAGTGGCGCTCTTTCGCGAGTCGGCAGAGTAGGCGACGGCCAGAATGAAAAGCGAAAAGCTTTCAGGATTGGTCTGCACCGCTGCTAGCGGAGCGCTTGCAGATAGCCTTTGAGATCCTGTCGGCCCCTCATACTGCCACCTGCAATAGTGCTCCTGCACCGTCGTCTTTAGATATGCTGAGGCCGTTTCTTCTGCTGCATGTTGCATTCTGAGGCCCAGAAAGTACACCAAGAACTTGAAGCGTTTCTTGGTAGATTTATTATGTTGCAGGGCCGTCATTTGTTGTTGTCGTTGTGGTGCATTGTGGCGCTGGCGTCCCAGGCTTTTACGTATTGCACGCCACAAGCTCGCCAAGCTGGCTGAGTTTGAGCCCCTTCCACAAACCACGATCGAAAGCTTGCTTCTTGCCTGCAGGACGCACGTGACGATGTGGTCGTTTTACGCGCGCCTCCAAGTCCGTTAGGCTGCTGTGGACTCTTCGGACTGTGAGGCGTGGCTGACACCGCAGTTCTGGGACAAGATCCAGTTCGTCAACAGCATCGAGACGATTTGCGAGGAGGGCTTCGGGCCAGCTTTACGGTCTAGGCGACACTGTGTAAGCACGGGTAGAGCAAGCTCAGCGAAGGTCTGCACCGGTATGGCAGTTGTGCAACCTACCCAAGTTGATTTCCCACAAGCTCGATAGCAGAATAGTTGCTGATGGATTACCATGAGAGTGAGAGATCTCACATGTCGTTTTGATTGGATCATGCAAGTTACATTTGTACCAGGACTTGCATCCAAACGATGAGTCTTCTCAAGTAGAACTTCGGCGACGCTTCCCTCAGGCAAATGCATGCTTTGAATTGCACCACCGTGAAGGATTAGTATGATTGGTGCACATGTCTTCGGAGCATGGCTTGGCCGTTGTGTCCTTGTAAGACCGAATCAAGTCTTCAGCTTGCGCATGGCCTGAATCATCTCCCAATGTCACCACAGACTTCTGTGTCCTTTCGTCTGTGACGTTTACGGCGGGCGTCCGGCATCCGAACCTTGGCACTGTCGGATCCAGTTGCCGAGAAAGGCACTTTTTAAAGGGTCTCCGATGCAGGTCATCCAGCGGCAAGATGCCCTGCGCAACGGTGATGACCCGCCCGTCAACTTCGGCGTCCAGATCAGGCGCTTGGCTTGTGGGTGAAAGGGTGTCTGCGCTTCTTCTTCTTCTTCTTCATGTCTTCATGTCACATCTCTGCGGAGCTTCATGTCTTCAGCAGCCGTGTCATCGCAGCTTCCGCACACTGCAAATGAGTGACCGTGCGAGACTGCACCCGTTGCAGTGAGTGCAAGCAGAGACATGCAGAGACAGAAAATGCTGTCGAGAAGCCCCTTGTAAGACACGCTCTGGAAGGACTCCGGTTTCCTTTCCGTGCCAAATTCGAGGCCTCAAAAAGCCCGTCTAAGTCATTGCGGCCATGGTCCGGAAGAGCGCTGATGCTTCGACATCTCCCAGCTCAGAGCTTGTTCGTGGGTACAAGCTCCTTCGGGTGCCAATGTCGCCAGGCTCGCCGATTACAAGGACCGTAGTGTTGCACCTCATCCAGCTATTTTGGTTGGAGTTGGAGAGCCTTGCTTGACCTCAGAACATGTCGTTACAGGTTCTTACAAGTTCGTTGGGATGTTCCTGGTGTGCGAGCGCTTTACAGGACCCTCCTGGTCAAGAAGCACGATGCAAGAGATCCTGCAGAAAAGGACTACTGTCATGTGGTCAAAAGTGCGAATCGCTGTGCGGCCATGCCAGGAGAGCGCTCCCAGAACGCTCTTTGCTACGCATTTGGATGCTTTCACAACAGAGTCGCAGATTCGGCAGTGCTTCTCCTCCTTCGGGTCAGTGGAGCCACTTGGCACAGCGTGAACACAGCAGTGGCATACAGGCATACAGCTGCTTACCCCTGCCACCAGGAAGGTTGAGCTGAAGTGCGTGGAGAAACGCGCGCCGAAGGCAAGACCCGTGCAGCTCCACTCCAGAGATTCTGCTGGGAATGCACACTCCCCGAATCTCAACGAACTGAACCCTGTGCTGCACGTCCAGGCCGAGCAGCGGGCAGACCATGTGCGCCTGCATGTTGTCTTTGCACGTGTGGTCTTCAAGGAGGCGAGCTGTTGAAAGATCATGTGTGCATCCCTGGTGTATTTCGCATCGTGTGGGGCAGGGATGTTGCGTGCAAAGTGAGTCTAGCGGCTCAAAGCTTCGCCATCGAACGAGCTTTGTTCATTCCGAGGTGCAAACTTTGCGGAAGGCCCTGGATGCTGCCACCGGGCTCGTCTCGGCACACGCTGTTTTACCGCCACCTCCATCAATACTCAAAGAGCGACTTCGATCCAGGAAGGCTCTGTATCCCGAACCTGGGCTGATGGTTCGAGTTTTTTTGGGATGGAGTTCCTTGATTCTTGATCCTTGCATGCATGCGCGTGCAATGCCAGGATCCTGTGCGTCTCAGACATGAGATTGACGACTGGATGGCGCAGTACGACGAGCGCCAAGAGGAGAAGAAGCGCCTTGCAAAAGAGACGCAGGTGGACGATGATGGCTTCACCAAGGTTGTGTCTGGCATTACGCGAACTCCGGACGGTCTGACCATCCGCGGGGCCCGCCGGCCATCGCTGAAAACGGGTGCATTCGGTGAAAGCACTGAAAACACAGTTGTGCCTGCGGGCAAGAAGATGAAGTCAAAGAAGTCGAAAGAGATGCCGGATTTCTATCGCTTCCAGCTTCGGGAGAAGCGTCGTGACGAGCTGATCGACCATCGCAAACGAAATAGGAAGGACATGGAAACCGTCAAGCAGATGAAGAAGGCTCAACAAACATGTGGAATTATCTGGCAGTCCTACACAACCACATCATGCGTGAAGCAAGTGCACTCTCTCGCGCTCTCTCTCTCTCTCTCCCTCCCTCCCTCCCTATCGTTCTTTCTGTTTCTCTTGGATTGAACCTGAGAGGCCAAACGCTTCAAAGCGACGTCAGCCTGAGACGACAGACAAAAGTGCGCTTTCTGGGACACTGGGCTTGCGACGGTTGTGCCTACAGTTTTGCATTTTGCAAGAGGCATCGAGGGGTGAGGCTGCGGCGAGTCCAAGCCACGCAAGCCAGGGCTATTTGCAACACCTTCGGTGTTGATTTCACCGACAAGACCACTGGACGTCCCAAGCTCACAGCGGGGTTTTGCTGCAGTGATGATGTTTTCGGGACGTTCAAGCAAGGCTGGTATCCAAAGCTGCCACCAGCTGTAATATTCCTATGTGAGGCACTTCGGAAGCCGTCGGAGTGGCATAGCCCGGGTTGCATTGTGTCCTGATTGCAAGAGGCCCTCGAGAGAGAGGCCGCCGACGAGGAATTTGGAAAGCTTTTCGGCGGTGGCCTCGGGCAACGGTGCATAGTCGGGCAGGGTCGTATCTTGCTGAACGAAGTTTGCCGTGGCTGACAAGCCTAAGAAGTGGATCCTGATGCAGTGTTCCCTCTGGCACGAAGCTCAGTTATTTGTGTGCAATTTGCACGGTTTACGCAGAATTCGTGTACGCCGAACTCAGTTGAATACTATCGACTATGGGAATCCATTGCCGCGTGACTTGGACCCTGCTCTTCTCTGGCCCGGACCCCGGGCAGATTCAGGCAGTGCTGGAACTACCACCAGCCACGACTCCCTTCTGACGGTGTGTGAAAAATGGAGGGGAGGCACACAGCATCGGGCTCATCGCCAGCGAAATCCAGCGAACCAAGCCCATCGAGGAGGTGGGCGCCGAGAGCACACAGGGCAAATCCCTCGCGCGGGCGCGAAGAAAATCCCCGGATTCCAAGATGAGCCACGGCTGCACCTGGCAAGAACATCAGTGCGGTTTCACACAGCCGCCTGCCAGGAAAGTTCTTCGGGATTTAGAAGCCACAGCTTACGAAAAAGCATCCACTGCGTCTTTCGCAGCTGCACTTGCTGGCATCAGCCTGTTGGCATCTGTTGGCATGCACATGAGCAGCCGGCCCCTCTTGCCCTCGCAGGTGTTGACCAAGATTTCGCCAGGTGTATCAGGTGTAATTCCAATTCAGGGCCTGAGCTCCTCCCCCTATCCGCCCCACCTGTTGTGCACGGTGCCCCCGTGGCATACCCTTGGCCTTGTTCCGGTTCTTCCCTCAGAAGTACTGGCTGTCACGCGGTAAATGCTGGCCGGATAGCGGTCGCAAGCTCAGGCTGAGAGTTCACATCCCGGGCTTCCGGTCGTGGTGGGGTGGCACAGTTAGTCTTCGGGCGCTTCGGGGTATTAGGTCTAGCGAGTCTAGTGGTTGTGCGGGAAAGCGGGTGAGTGATCCCTCTTTTGGCCAACTGAGCCGTTCTGCACATTAATTTTGCAGAGAGCGACATCGCGCGAAGCGACACATTCGTCGACCCTCCTGGCTTTGTTGAAGAAGTCTCACGCCTCCACAACAAGCCTTAGTCACAGAAGGGGGCCTTTGCGGCGGGGGGTCTGACAAGCCCTTCATGCCCTGATGAAGAAGAAGAAGGGAGAAACAGCTAACTATGCTGGAAAGGTGCAGCTGAGTTTCCACTCGCCAACCCAACGGCAGACACATGCATGCACGCAGTGCCGGGAGCAGCAGCAGCAGCAGCAGCAGCAGCACAGAACGGCCATTGCTAACGGCACCCCTTTTGGAGGGGACGAGAAATCAAGCATCTTTGCGACATATGCACGCAGGTTCGTTCTTTGACCCAGAGTCCCTCGGAATTCTGTGCTGTTGTCCCTGGCTTTTGCCATTATTCCGACTATTCCAAGGAGAAAGCACGGATGCTTAGGGCTTCCAACACAACTTCAGAAGGTCCGTTCTTGGGCCACAAGGACCTCGTGTGAGCTTCCACACGAAGCCCCAGCGAACGCAGTAGAGGCGGTGCACCTCAGACTCGATTGCCTCACCTCCGAAGACTTTTCTCCTTTCCTGGAGCTTAGAGGGGCAGCTTCCGAGCCATTGCCTTGTGGAGCTGGCAGTAGCCGGGATTGGGGAGGGTGCACGGCCATTTTGGCTCGTGGAAGCCACAGTTGCAGTGTGAAAGATTCTCGGAGGAAGAGCCTCTTTGCTATGTAGAGAGGGCCGTCTTGACGAGAGTGAGAGTGGGAGGACATGCCAGAGAGAACCGAGTGTCGGCTGTCGCCTGTCGCAGGTGTTGCCTCAAGGTCTGGTTGGATTGCTTGCCTTCTCCACTCCTGTCCTTCGAGGCTTGGAAGCTCTTGTCTTTTAGCATGCAGCATGGCAGTGCGAGGCTATGAATCTCCTGCAAAGCAGGGAGATTCAGCAGCATCCCCAGACCGACAGACGAGAGCCTGTGACTTCACTTTGCAAATCTTCAAGGCCTGGCAACATCCAGAGCCAACGGGAGTACTTAGCCTGGCACCCAGCAGTTTGGGGATGCTTGAGACCTGAAATGATGCCTTTTTGAGCCTCAAGGAAGAGTCCAGAACATGGCTGTTTAGGTTTGGGCCAGAGGTCCGCTTCCGTAAGTTAGATGAGCAGTCGTTGGGAGGACCAGTGGCAGACACAATTCACGCGTGGTCAAGACAAGCTAGCACTGCTTGCTCATGCTCCAACATGCACTTGTCACACACATTGAACCATCGAGAGCTGCACCAAGGTTGAGATCTTTCATGAGAAGCTTCCTGAAGAAGTTGTCCTGCTGCCTCGATTTCAGATTTAGACAGTGTTCTGCGCTGCCTCGTTCTTGCATTGACCTGGCAGGCGTATGTTGCGCTCTACATAAGTTCATTCCTTCACACCATGTGTAATGTGGCGTGTCGGACCAAGCTTCCCGTGTACTTTTTCTTGGAATTGCAGCGAAAGTTTGCGAGCGTTGAGACTGTTATAAATTGCTTGAAGGCAAGATCGTTGGGCCCGCTTCTTAGAGACAGCATGACGACACGAGGAAGGGCGCTTTGGGAATGCACGGTGCAGATCTGCGTGCAGACTTCAGGGTGGCAAGGCTGCAGGCAGCTCGGTCAGGGACTGAGCGTCTGAGCATGACACTGCCTGGGCACGCAATGGCTTCTCTCGCCTCGCATTTGCCAGGCCACTGCATCTGCGCCGGCGACCGGCTCAGACACTTTTCTTAGTTGCTGTGCACACACCTCACGCCTGTGTGTAAGACGCTCAGGCAGCGAGGGACCTGGAATCACGTAATTGAGTTTGGTGGTTCAGATCTCGACCCCGGATTTCTGCCCTAGTGGAGACGTGATCATGCCGTGTGACTTTGTTACCAAAGGCTGTCATTGGAAGGGTCAGGGCGTGACCAACTGTAGGCCCACATGAACTTGACAAGTCCGCCGTCGAGTGTAGCTCCCACCATCAGAGGATGTGTCCCCGATCCTCACCTTCGCGAATACTGGGATGCGCGCTTGGATTTGCATCATTTATTGCCTCCATTTTAACATGAGGCCAGGATTTGTGGTATCAGCACATGGACCTAGAAATAGATTCGGAGCATCACCCAAGTCGCCCTACATCGTAGGTGACCGGTTCCTGGATGCTCAATGGAGTTTCCTTTAAGGTTTGTTCCGGGGCGTGTTTGACGAGGCACCGGGATGTTCGCAGGCCCAACCTTTTCTCTAGTGAGAAACTCACATCTCAGGATGTGACATCTTACCGCTGCCTTGCCTGAGGGGTTTTGTCCAGGAGTGAAGGGGAAGCTCAGGTCATGCTGACGCCCAGCACTGCCGCAAAGGCCGGTCATGAGATACGAAAGTGGGGGAAGTCTGCGAGAGGGATCAGACTCGATTTCGTGCCGTACTTCCGAGACCGAGAAGAGCTTGCACGAGATGCCGGCTTGCATGCTGTCTGGGTTCGGGGGTTTCGGCCACACGGTCATTGCCACGTGTTGTGTTGCATCAATGCTCGTAGCCAAATTTTAGCAAGAGGTTCCAGACTCGCAACCGAGTAGCAGTCGGGAAGCCCTCAAGCATCGCTCTGACATTCCGGCACTAGTGGAGCAGATCGCAGCAAGACTGCAAAATGCAGGCGGAAGCAGCGAGAAAGCTGGACCTGCTGTGTAGTGCCTAGCTGTTGTTATATCCTGGTAGGCCGAGAAGTTGTGGCTTCGAAAGGGGGCCGTAGTAGTGTGCTGCTGGACTCGTGGCTGATAAATGACCAGTTTTGTCCTAAACCGGAGCCTACTGCTGTTGCCTTCTACCAGGTTTTGAGGATCCCTGCCGTTCAGGTCTTCGCATCCGGCTTTTTGAGACCGCGGGAGTCTGCCTCAGCATTGCACGACTGTAGCGCACTAAAACGTCGAAGCATGTGCTTCTCGGAGTCGAGTTCAACTAGCTTTTAAGGCCAAGTGTACTTCGTCTCTGTTTCAGTTCGCGCAGTCTTACAGGAGCAATCATCCGTCCTGGAGTTCGAGACAAGGGAGGGCTCATTCGATCGTCCCGTTTTCTCAAGATGTCTGTGTGCTCGCAAAAAGAATTGAATGCGGCTACCGCCCCTACCTCAAAATGAATCCATATCATTGTCCTCAGCGAGTTTCATGCGAAGCCCAACTTGCAGACTATATGTGTGATGGTATCGTGTTATTTCTGTTGCATGATCAGCTACAGCGCCGAAATGCAGACGAGCCTTGAATGTAGGAGCTGTGCTGAGTGCCGAACCGTTGAAAATCTGAGCCTGTGCAGCATCGAGGTGTTCAACGGGGAGTCCATGAAGGCTGCCGCCGTTTTACGGATAGCAAAGGCTCTTTCTGTCTGAGCGGGCACGACAGGCAGTCCCGGCCGCCGAGTCTTTGATTGCGACGCTCATCGAAGGAGCCCCAGCCTCAGTTTCCACAGAACAATTCAGAAACGAGCATTTTGCACCGATGCTGGCAAGAACTCATTTTCGTCTGCGAGGCTGAGGAAAAAGATCTTTGGATCGGTGGGGAAGCACAAGATTTCGCCAAGGCATGTACTGAAAAAGCAAGTGCACTCAATGCTTTCCAAGGGCCATGTTTCGAGGAGACGGCTGATACCGAGTCGGACGCAGAAAGTCCATGATGCGAATGAGAGCCTCAGTGATACATGATTGCAATGGTGCACTTTTACGAAAGTTGCATGAGCACAGTCTCACTGCCAGGTTTGCTAATGCCTCCAGAAGCTCGCAAGAGTGCTCGTCGAGCCATATTGAGCTGGCATGATGGATTCCAAATCTCGAGAAAAGCGATCGTGCGAGTGAATGATCTATGGTATTTATCGTTCGCCAACTTCACAAGGCCTCAGCATGCGTGGCTGTGGGCCTGCTGTCCAAGGTTCATCCTTGCTGTAGTTCGAACATGTGAAAGCGGGTGCACCGATGACAGAGGCCAGGTTGACAGTAACAGCAAGTATAGCTGCTGTGGCATGTAGTTAGTCACAAGTACAAGGCGAAGACACGTAGGTGTGGAAGAGCCTTGGCAGACACACGGGCAGACAAGCATTGCTGCAAGTCGAGCTTGTCGAGCACACGCAGCCAGACTCCAGCTATACCTGTGTCAGTCAAGATGTAGAAGGAAGCGCAGTCCTGTGCAATGGCGTTCCCGCTTCGCTGCATTGTTTTCTTTGAAGCGTGCTGTGCATGCTCTGCTTTCAGCATCGATGCAGGGTTCACGTGCAGGAGTCCATACAGCAGCAATGAAGCTTGAGAGTCTGTGTGGCATTGCTGCAAGCATCTTTCTGAACCGCAGGGCGTCAAGCAACGAGTATGCATGCGGCTACGCACTTGACCGGAATGTCACCTCCGCATGGAGTCTCTGCTGCAGTGATCACGCATTGACCTAGCAGCCAGGTCGGGCATCAAGACGGGGCCACGAACGAGATGTACAGGAAGACACGGAGTAAACAGCGAGGCAGAAGGGGAAGCCTTTCGGCTTCCGCTTCTGTACTTCTGCCCAAGATACCTGAACAGAGGGTGCTGGAAACTACTTGCCCGAGCAATGGAGGAGACCCGAGAATTGCAGTCAGGTCACGAGCACCAATTTTTGAGACTTTGCACAACCTGATTTTGCGTGGAGGGAATGGCCACGACAAGGATTTGATAATGAAGAATGGCTGTAGCAGTGCTGTAGCGGATATGGCTGAAACCGGAGGTAGACTATGAATTTACGGAAGAACGATTCCACAGCAAACCGCATGGGTTTTCAGAACAGGCTGTCTAAACGCGGTCTGAAATCGTGCATCGAGAACCCAAGCACCGACTGCAGCTTGCATGTGTTTCGGCTCGTTTGTCAGTTTGTGTTCTCCTGCTCTCCTGCTTGTACCAAGGGCATCCGATGGTCAAACGCCACAATGGCTGGAAGCCCGAATAGCAGGCAGAGACAGCAGATCTCAAAACTCGAGTCCTGTCTTGCTTGGAAATTTGAGTCTTTTGCAGACGGGACCTATGCAACGCTGGGCTCCTACGCCCTCACAGCGGTCATTGGGCGTGCTGATCTGGCACCGACGGCGTGGCGGCTGGAAGGGGTTGAGCCAGGCTCCACGCAGCGCCAAATCCTGGACGAGGCAGCCTGCCTGCAATCGCAGTTGCAATCGCATGCAACGCACTGAAGGGCTGCAGGGGATGTAAAGGGAAACCCGCAGCAATGCGCAAGACGCAATCATCTTGCCAAAAGGCTTGAAAATCCTTGCACGAGTCCGTGGCCCGGTAGCTGTGCACGTCTAAGGCATGGGGCAAGACATGGCAGGAAGGCACAACTCACGTCAGAGATCTCGGAGGCGTCGGGCGACGTGCTTTGAACAGCGCGTCTTCGCAGCCCTTCGCAGCCCAGGCCACAGCTCCTGGAGAAGCTACGTGCTGACCATGCTGGAAGGCACCGGACGCTTAGCTAAAGCTATGGTAAAGTCTCTTCAGCCTCCTGCTTGCTCCTACAAGCGGATCCTCTACAGCTGAGGTACACAAGTTGCCATCGCAGAGCTCCAGTTGATGCCGAAGCTGGGCTATACTTTCGAAATTTCTCATTGGACGCTCTGCTCCGCTACATGCGGTGGTGGGTCACAGGAGAGGACGGCGCCTCGACGGAAAAGTCATGTAACAGGGTAGTCCAGCTGCAGAGCTGTAAGGCAGTGTATACGCGACTACTGAGGTGGTTTGCAGAGGAGCTGCTTTCGAGCTGCCATGCAGTCAGTGAAGAAACACAACGAAACGCGAAGCAGATCCGATGTCGAGTTGTGCTAGCTAGGGCCAGGGTCTGGAAACCATTCCAATTTCCGACATTTGTGACACAGGAGAAGATGGTGTGAGCTACAGCGACAATCGCTGCACAACTGGCGAGCCCCCAGCAAGATCACGGGCCTGCGGAACTTCGATTTGTGCTTGCCAGGCTCGGTTCATGCTCTAATGTCCTGCAAGCATGCAAAGATGCCTCGTTGCTGTCAGGGGGGTGCAGCTTGTACTGCTAGTTGCAGCTCTTCCAGGCCGGAAAGGATGCGCATGATTCCGTTCTTGTCGCTTGAGATCGCTTGAACGTGCCTCGTCTTCAGCGCCGCCACCGCGGACTTGGGCTGTGCGGTTCTCATCGACGGCTCAAGCCTCGCGGCCCGGGTCTCCCAGTGTCGAAGACTCGTACTATAGCGTATTGCGTGCTCTAGAGGCCTGGACATCAGCTGGGCCGGCGCCGCAGTGGTTGTCTTTCGACTTGGGTAAAGCCGGGGCCCAGGGCATGCCACGGCAAGGAAAACGTAGTTTAGTGGCTGAAACTGGTGGTGTCGGTTGCGTGCTGTCAGCCTGTGCCTTGTGCGGCTCCTGGCAGAGGTTAGAACACTGGAAGGATTCTCGTTGACATCCGGGGAGTGCGCCGTTTGCACTTCTTTGCAAGGGCCCTCTATGATCTCCTTGGAAGCAAGAAATGATGAAAATGCTGGATGGCTTGAGCTACGCACACCCTTCAGCGTGGGCGCCTTCTGGTTATCTGGCGAGACGCGCAGGCTCTGCTATGGTAGCCGCATAAAGTTCTCATTGCTCTCGAATGTTTAATATGGTGCATGTTTGACACGCGCGCGCGGACTGCACGGAGATTCGCTCGCAAGGTGGAATCTCCACGGTGACAGCAACTCTTTCCGGTTTTGGCGCATCAACTTCTTGGAGACCTTCGGAGGTAACTCGCATCCTGTCCACGTGGCCGAAGTCGGTCTTGGCCTTACTCGTAGTTGCCGCAGAGCTCTTCCCAGTCCCAGCCCCTCATCCCCCATGCCAGGCCTGTTCGCACCTCCTGCGACCTACCGACTCGTCACTGGCAGCTTTGGTGCGTGCGAACCGCTCGGTGGTGCCGGCGCTTGTGGCATGGGAGTCAGCCGGCGTCAAGTCACGTGCTTCGACGATGAGGACTACCCCCATCCTCTGGAGAGCTGCGAGGACGGGCCAGAAACTGCAACAGAGCGGGGCTGTACCGTGGACTGCCCAGAGCTGGTGGTATCAAGTGCCTCAGCACATCCGAATTTCTTTGGCATCCTGAGGCCGGCAGTGTGCGCGATGCTGTGCCTTTGGTGAAGCTGTAGATGCATCGTGCAGCTGAGCTGTAGCCCCTTAGCTGCATGGCTCAAAACAGCCCGCGTCGGAAAGTGTGGAATAAGCATGGATCCCGGTCTGCATGCTGAATATGGAGACCTCGTCACTTTGCGGTGCTTTGGATGCCTGCGCAGTGCCAGAAGCCTTGCAAAACTGGCGAAGGCAAGTGCTGATTTTTTTGGCCAGAGCATCTGAAAAAGAAGCCGCCTGCGCCAGGAGCCTTCTTCTTCGAGTTGGCGGTTTTGATGCAGCCGTTGATTCCCTTTTGCAGATGGCCAGCTGCATTCTCCATGGCGAGGCATAAGGATCAACTGCGCAAGGATTGTCAGTCAGTCAGTCAGTCAGTCAGTCAGTCAGTCGTGCTTCGGTTCGCTTCAAGCATGCTTGTGAACGTTGCTGGTAGACGGTGGCTGCAACTGCGGAAGGCAACAGCACATGCTCTTCTGCTGAAGGGGCCGCCGGGATCTGGAAAGACCTATTTGGCCACTGTCTTTGCCGAGTCTGTGGGTGTGAAGCAAGGCTGCTCTAGTAGATGCGAGCACTTCTCAGGCCTACACAGCCCTAGGCGTCGGCTTATAAGCGCATGCTACAAGTACTAGAGTTACTAGAGTACTACTATTGGCCCTGGCAGGTTTCTTTTGTGCAACGCAGACCCCAGATCCAAAACAAGTGCACTATTTGGTCCGTAAAGCTCGTTTGGCTTCGGATAGGGTACTTTGCAAGAGTTCGGCCAGCACGCCTGACCCCTGAAGCATGCACTGGGACTCGTCGTTTCAAATTTTCTCAGACCGAGTTCCAGCAAGGTCTGCGACTCTGAGTGAGGTGTTCATGTGGATGGCATGACATGAGTGATTCTGGGGAGTCAGCTCGAGAGGTTTGTGGTGGAAAAGCAGAAGTCACCGAACCTCGAAAACCCAGTAGTGCAAGCAGCAAGGCTGCGAGTCAGTCGAAATTTGTTAAAGCACGCATCGCAGATCCATAAAAGCAGCCTTTCACAGCAGAAGTCTAAGTGTAAATGATTCTCGTGCAGGCGGAACTGCCTAGGGACGCTTTGGCATGCACTTGCAAACGAGGATCGAATGCTGTGCAGTTTTGTAGTGACATACCTGTGCATGTATCCATGTTTTCATGATGTGTATATAGGCATGTGTGAAAAAGTGAATGCATGCATGCATGCATGAATGAATGAATGAAGGAAGGCGCGCATGTATGTATAAATGCCTCTGTGTGTGTGCGTGCGCGCAGCCCTGTTACTAAGGGATAGGACTGGGGAGGAATGCACAAGTGTGTATCTAAACGGTTTTGCATTCAACGTGCCGTCTACGGTAAGATTGCCAACTGCATTGAACCCTGAACGGTTCTGAGCTCTGATCGGTTCTATATATGTATCGGCCCTGATCGGCTATCTGTTGCCGAACCCTGGCCGGTTCACCAGAGAGATGCGTGTGCTTGGCTTGATACAGCACAACCACAATCCTGAGCGATCAACCTAGGCTGGTTCATTCTGTTTCTCTTTGCCAAGAGCAATGCACCTGTTCAGCCTTGAGACCGGGTTGGCCCAACACGGAACCGTTGAAGCCTTAGCTGCTACATCCTCCCACCGATCTTTTCAGTTGAGAGCCATGCCTGAATGGTATGGCAAGAATTGGAATAATCGATCTAACACTTGGCAACAAGGAAGGTCCTGGGAGGCAAAGCTGGTCCAACAGCGGCAATTCTCTTCCAGTGTCTGTTCATTCTGATGGAAGTTTGGTGATCGTCAGCTAGTAGGCAAACAAGGCCGTTAGTTTTTCGAGAAGTTCAGCCTATTGAATGGAGCCGCAAGCAAAGCTTGGCTGGCCCTCCCGTAGAGGACATTCGAGCATGGGAATTGTCCCACAGACTGGGCTCCTATTCCAGCCGACCTCAATCCCAAGCCTATCAAAAGGCCAAGCTGAGCAAAAACTCAAGCGACGAGGAAAGACCTAGTGGTTTTTTGTGTGTGTGCAACCTTGTCACTAAGGGACAGGACTGGAAAGGATTTCTGAGTGTCTTGCAGTTTAGCAGGGGATTTGCAAATGCTTCGGCAACCCCGTGAGCAAAGCTGGTTGCCCAACGAACAGGGCTATGCCGCAGCTGATACTGGGTTTGATCAACCCAGCGTACTTGCGAGTGATTCTGCAAGTGTCTTTTGCACGTGCTTTCTGCATTGTTGTGGCATGGGGCTAAGCCTAGATCCCCAATGTACTGCCTCGTGGCTGTCTGCATTCGCTTCTGAAACGAGGAGTGCCTTTCAGAAACAAGTCAATCAGAGGGAGATTGCACAAGTGTGTGTGTGTGTGTGTGCGCGTTTTTGTGTGCATTTGTGCGTGTATCTGCACGTATGTATATAAGTAGGCGGGCAAGCAATCGGGCAGGTAGGCAGCGAATTAGGTAGGTAGCGCCGGGTAGAGCACAGGACTTGAATGCATCTTCAAGTTCGTCTGATAAGTACTGGAACGACGAAAACTTATCTGAACGCGATTACAACAAGTGCTATTGCAAAAGGTGAAACTGCAGAATTGTCGATGATCGCAGATAGCCACAACTGTTCGACCACGTCGAACAAGTGCTACTGTGCCTTAAGATGTTAGCGTAGGGAGCTTCTACCTTTGGCAGGCCTGGCAGGGGCTTGCCCTTCCATGTTACATGGACAAGCGAACAGAGAAGGCGTGGCAATCTTCCGAACGAATTTGTCGTTGTCTACAGCTCGGGCTCGACAACGTGCACAAGGCTCGCCGCGACAGGGTTAAGTTTAGGCCTTTGCTATGCAAGCTGGTGCTATGACGAGTTATGTCAGTTATGTCATCTGCTGGGTCTTCGTGGTGGGACGGATGAAATAATTATGGATGAAAGGATAGATTGTTAATTGAGCCGGCGCGACGAAGGCATGCAGATACAACCAACATTGGAGGTTTTGCTGCTGGAAGGTGCAGAAGGTCTTGTGGAGAAAAGCGGCGAAGAGAGCACAGAGGAGGCTCAGCTGTGTCTGAAAGAAGTTTTCGTCGAGCTGCTACGTCAAGAGATGCAGATGTGGTATCGCGAACGGCTTCCTATCCTCCTGCTGGTGCCGTGGCCGGAGAGTGCCGCGAGTAGCCTGGAGTTTGGTCCGATTGGGTCCGTGGTTTTGCCAGTGCCGCTAGGCTGGAAACAGCGCGAGGCCGTGCTCCAGGTTTCTTTGCGGAACGTGGAACTGGAGGAGACCATTGTCTTGATGCCCTGGCTGGTGGAAATCACAGCTGGCTTCCTGCCTTCAGACTTGGTGGCTCTCTGTCGTGCAGCCGCTTTGACGGCCGCTGCAGGCGAAGGCACCAGTGCAAAGTTGAGGAAAAGTCACTTCGAGTCAGCTCGAGCTCTTGTGGATCCTGCGGCCATTCGTGGAACTTGTGCCATGAAACCACAAGTGCTGAACCTTTTGAAGACTGCGTCCCCAGGCTTGGATGCGGTGATCGGCCAGGATGCAGCAGTCCTTCTTCTGCGATCCATGATAGTTCAACCTTTCAGGTGTATGCAGAATGAGGAAACATGCAGCACCGAACCACCGATTGGAATTCTGCTGAGTGGGTGCCCTGGTAGTGGCAAGACCTTTCTTGCTGCACAGCTGGCAGCCGAACTTTCGACCCACCTTTTCAACGCGTCTCCGGCTGATCTGTTGGCATCACGTGTTGGTGATGCTGAGAAGCACCTTTCATCCCTCTTCAGATCAGCCAGAGGCTGCGCGCCTAGTGTCATTGTGCTGGAGGACCTCGAAAACCTAGCAGCTGGAGCTGGAGACGTCGGAGAAGCGGAATCGGCACCCGAGACTTGCATCTCTTACGTTCTCCGGCAGGAGCTCGACACGATCAAGGCCAGGCGACAGGAGCACCGAGAACTCCGAGCCGGCGTCTCTTACAGCCCACGGGCCTCCGAGGCTTTGATGCTCGTCGTGGGAACTTCGACGAAGGTCCAACATCAGCTGCCGAGCTGGCTTCTTGCGCCTTACCGCTTCTCAACTTGTCTTCAACTCACACCCAAGCTCACAGAGAAGGACAGCAACTGCAAACTTGCACGCTGTCGCACGTCGCCACAGAATGTGCAGCTGCTGCGAGGACGTGCTTGCCCTGATGCAACGGCATCTGGGGAATCAAGCCACGAGGTTTCAGCCTGATGAGGATGTGCTGGAATCTCTCTGCAAGGCTCCGGATTTTTGTGATACACAGAACTGCAGTGCTCACGATTGCTGCAGACACCACGATTAGCTTGCACTCTTCGAGGTGACCTATGCCGACGTGGTGGCTGCATGTCGAGCTGCTTCTGTCACAGCACTTCGAAGGGCCGCTTGACTGAATGCTCGAATGCTAGAGGCCAAGGTGTTCATTCATCGGATCCCAGACTTTGTGTTGCACAGAGTGTCTCATGCCTTGTTCCGGATGCAGCTGCTCAGGGACCGTAAGAGATGCAGACTTACCTGGGTTCAATGCCCAAGCATGCAACATGACGGAAGCCCAATAACCGTAGTTTGATGAAGCTTATACGGATCAACACATCGGTACGAAGGCAATGAGTCCGTCCCGATCTAAGTATGGCTCCCTCCCGACGCTGTGCAGCAAGGCGTAACCTCATATCATATGCACGCCCTGAAGTCCCGCTTTTCGACCTCCTCCACCTCCACCTCCTTGCTGCTGTGTCTGCCAAAGAGAACACTGCGTGGAGGATCCTGGGCTGGGGAGGAGTGTTTGGATGCTTTCTTGCAAATCTGAGGTCATCCACACAGAGCGCCCATCACCCAATGGCAGGAGTCTCGACCTGCAAGTTTCACCTCGAGACTTGCAACATGCGCTTACATGCTTATCCGACTTCAGTCTCAAAAGATGCATCAGTGCAACGGTGCGACACATGTAGTGCGATCGAACGTCATGCCACATGATCTGGAGTGGTGTAATCGTATCCTCGCGCACTGTGTCAGGGTTGAGCTGACGTCGCAGTGGATGGCAAGCGTTCGATGTGCAGCCTTCAAGGCACCTGCAGTCGCCATGAGTTGGCACTAGCTTCACTAGGTCCCACTAGGTGGTACTGTACATGTTGCTGAGGCACCGCTGGGCTCATGGGAGCCAAGCTGTGTGCTCAGAGTGCAGATGCAGAGTGCAATGATTGCAATGCAATGCAATGCAATGCAGATGAGCGTTGCACATGTTGCACTCTGTCGACGCCAGGCTCCGCTGATCTGGACGTCGCGCTCTACTCTGCTCCCTGGCCGAGCTTTTTGACGACGCGTCGCGGCCGACCGTCGCGCTTGAGAGCGTGCTCAGCGTGCCTCCTTTTGGGCCTGTCTTCGGCGCATCTCCAGGGCCTTGGCGCGGCGGATTCCATGAATGGCACGACAGACGTGGAGGGCCAGTGCCCCACCATGGCCCCATGGCCCCGCGGCCGTCACACTCATGAAATGCTCGAGGCATACAGGTCTCTGAGTTTGCCGGTGAGGAGTTCGAGGTGCACAGCAGACGACAGCACACGATCAGTCGCGATAGAGAAGCTGGAGTCCTGGCGTGATTCGAGGTTCGATGCAAAGTGGTTGGAGGTTCGCAGATCTTTGGCCAAGGCCTCCGGATTGGCTTTGAGAAAGCTTCCAGAGGTTCTTGTCATCTCGATGCTTGCAGGTCGTGTGGGAGTGCTGCGACCAGTTCCCAGCCTGCCGACAACTTACTAGTAGTCCCCAGCATCATCCAGAAGTTTCTGCTGCGCAGACCTCTTCTCAGGATGGGATGCTATACTGATCGACCAGCGGATCCAGTCCGGGTCTCATGGCCTCCTGCTGGCTCTTTCTCTTTGTTCTCGCCCTATCTCCACCTCACACTCACTCGCACTCACACTCTGAAAGTCTGGCAAGCGGCGTGGGCGCTTCGTGGCAAGGATCTGCCAGAAGACCGCGGCAGCCAAGTTCAGGTTGGGACCGTGTGTTGCTTGCTGCTGCTTGCCCTTGTTGCACTATGTTGGCAGCGAACGTTTGTCTGTGTGACATCTCATGTCAAAGATGCTGCAGCCACGACGGCAGAAAGTGTTCTGGTTCGGCTCTCGCATGCAGTCCATGATATTCTGAGAGATCCTTAGCACGAGTGGGCTGACAAAGAAACCAAGCCTGTCCAGACTCAAGACAGTACGTCCGATCAGATTGTATTGTGGCTCAGCCATTCCAAGCTCTGCGCCTCCGAAAACAATGGCAGGATTGCATCTGATGTCTGCTGGCTCGCTAACAGGAAGGGAACCGTGGCGCGCAGACGCAGGCGTGGGCAGTCAAGGTCGTCAAAGTTGACCGTCGACGTGAAAGAAGCAGCATTGCTGGCGCAGGTACCCAGAATCGTCGTTCAGTTGTCGACTTGCAGGCTCCAGCAGCGTCTGCAGCTGCCATAGTGTGCACGTCATTGGACAGAAAACTCTAGTGGGAGTCTTCAGTTGAAGATGCCATTTGATCTGTCCGAAGTTTTCGCCAGGATCTTCAGCACCGATTTCTGCGAGAGCAGTCAGCTGTCACATCGGCATTTGTCGAGAACGTGAAAGCTTTAGGGGAAGAGGTGGCAGCACTGAGGACAAAGGCTGCAATGTCGATCGACGTGGCATCGCGGTCCGAGGCAATGGTCAAAGAGCTCTGGGACAGGTTTCCCGAGGCCGGTCACGAAGTGCAAATCCTCAACCCCAAGTTCGAAGCACTCCAGACACGCATGAATGTGACCTTGTCGAGTGACAAGACTGGGAGATTGGAGGAGGTCAAGAAAGCCTTCGAAGGACAACACGCCGCACATGAGTCCAAGCAGAACTCCATGGCATCTCGTTTGGAAGCTCTGGAGTGCAAAGTTGCAGGATTCATGGATGCTCACGATAAGCAAAAGCAGATGCTAGAACTACAGAACACATCCCATACTGAGATGGCCAGTCAGGTTAGGGCTCAGGCTGCGCACCACGCTGCCCTTGCTCAGCGTATGACCCATGCTGAAGGCTTGATGGCAGAAGCTGGCCGTAAAAATTCTCAGGAGATCCTGGCCCTCGAAAAGCTTGTCGAGCAGCTACAAGCGACTAGGTCCCCAGCGCAACTCTCCATTGAGGAGCTACGGCAGTCCTTGGCCAGCGCTGAGGCACAAGCTACACAGGCAGCACAACAGGCCGCACTACTTGCGCAGCAGCAGGGCTCTTGGAATTTGCGCTTGAAGACGTTGGAGGAACGGAACAAAGATGGCGGCTTCGTAAACTCGATGCAGGAGCTACAGGCGACTATTCAGGGATTGCGTGAAGAGCGCGATGCGAACTTCCGGTCTGCCGAGCAGCGATTTGGACACCTGGAGCAGTCCATGGCCTCCCTGGCATCCGAGCAGTCCTTTCAACTCCAGAAGTTCCAGCGGAGCTTCCAGGAGATGCAACAACAAGTTGCCAGTGAGCTGAATTCGCGCATGGCTCATCACACTGCTATCGACGGCCGTCTTGGCCGAATGGAGAGCAGCGTACGAAATTCCCCTGATGCACAAACTGGACAACAACTGGAAGCCGTGCTCAAGAGCATCCAGGACAAACCTGCATAAACTTCGGGACGAATGCTTCTGAAACAACCTTAGGACCTTGCGGTTTGCCAGGAGCTTGCGATCCAGCTTCGAGATGGCAAAGTCCAGTTGGATGAGCTGCAAAAGGTCACGGCTGAGCTGCGCACCAGGCACGAAGCCCTCAAGGAGCTGTCAGAGGCAGACAAGGCGGCCAAAAACTCTGTGGATGCACGGCTGTACCGATTGGAGAAGGCATTTTCCTCCCAGGCTGGGCCTGAAAGATATCTCAAACAATAAAGTCTTGACATGACACTTGACATACCAACGTGGTGTCTCGGAGCTGAGGCGCAAGAGCTGCAAGGGTTCCTGTGCAAAGCCCAGGCGGGAGCTAGAAGCTTGCACAGTCTCCGCGCGATTGCGTTGTCTTGTCACGGGACTTGAGGAGTTGAAAGGTCAGGACCTAGCCAAAGAGTCCAAAGGGCACAGGCTGGTGCTCTCACTTTTGCCTGAAGATGGCTACCCTGCCTTGCTTTGGAACGTTCCATTCTTCAGGGCACCCGACCTGCGGCTGCCGACGGAGGCAACGCGAGAGGGCCAGGGCCGGAATCCATCCAAGGAGCGCCGTTTTACCCTTTTGGCTGAAGCTTCTTTGAGTCTTTCACCCTTGTAAAGAATTTCCAAAGTTTCTATGGCTGCTGCACAGGATTTGAGAGGTGATCCGCTGGCATTGACCGTTGCTGGCAAAGAAACGACTACTGAGTGGATGGCACTTTGGCTTCATCTGACAAGGTAGTTGCCTTTGTCCATGGTGCCTTGAGAGAGAGCGAATGAGGACATATCGCCGGAACATCGCAGCTTCTTCCAGAATGTGACCGCCGTAATCATGCAGGATGGTTTTGTAGCTGTTCATGTTGTCTGCCGGACGTAAGTTTTGCACTGCCTCGTGCTTAGTTGTCATGTGGCTGAGAGGATTCGGCGCCCTCAGTCTCGTTGCCTCCGCTTGCACCTCACTCGGGAATGGCAAGGATGGGCTCCCTGCCTACCCTTCGAACGACCCCGTCCGTTCCCTCCGTTCCTGCAGCTTTGGGAGGCCTTTTGCCAGAAAACACTACGAAGCGACTGCAAACTCCAGTTTTGCACCCTGAAGGCCGACCGGATCCAAGCCGTGAGCGCCGGTGGCCACCATAGCCGTCCATTTGGAATGTGCGGCACTCCAGATCTATAATTCTATAATATCATATTATGATTCTAGATCACCAGAATACCACCGTTATCGTTCACAAAACATGCCACTGGAGATAAGTCAAACTAGCTTCCTTTTGCGCAGAAGCTTCTATCTGCGCAGCTCTGGACACGGAGAAGCCTACTATGGGCACTACATGCAAGACTTAGATTCCAACACAGCATGCTCTGTACTTCGCAGACGTGCACATCTCACATTGCTGCAGGATGCTGCAGTCACATTGGATTCAGCAAAGCTGAAAGCAGACCTAAGTCAGCGCGCATGCGGACCTCCTTGGGCGTAGACGCTTCAAATTTGATCGATAATGCTCAGTAAAGAACTGAGTCGCAAGTCATCCCTGCGGAAAAACCTCTGCATCAAGGATTGAAGAATGTTGTCAGCGTGCTTGGAATCTCCTGCAGTATTCGAGAGATGCTGGGGTCTTGATGTGTAACGCGTCGTCAGGTGTCGTGCGTCCTAGCCTCGGCAGAGGGGTGGGCCTCTGGCGCACCATGAGCAGAAATTAAAGTTGAGCTGAGCTGAAGGCCGATGCCTGCTTCGGTTTCCGCTACTTCGGCCTCCAGCTTGAGGCTCAGCGGCCGTGGCCGACTCGCCTGGTTCACCGTCTCGCCAAGGTTGCGGGGAAAGTGCGGCTGTGGAGATGACTATGGCCAATACGGGGAGCAGAAGCCGAACATCACTGCTGGCATCCCAGGCCAAGACTATGGGCTGAGAGATGTGTGGTGATGGTTGGCGTTTTCTCTGTCCGCAGGGTGTGACTGCAATGGCCCATACTTCGCCTATCATGCGAATTGCGTATGGGAGCAGACGAGTGGTCGATTCGGTGTTAGCCTCAGTGGAGACGGGCAGCTGATCCCAAGGGTGGAGACGTGTACTGTCATGGATCAGAAGTGGCACTTTTCAGGGGACGAGACGATGTTACCTTTGCAGACACAGTCTGTGACCACGACATCAGTGTGGCCGGCAATTTTGGGCAGTTTTGATCACGTCAGACATTGTGCAACAGACCATGGTAGTTCATAGCCTCCCCCTCTACAAGGTCCTGACTTCCATTTACAGAGAATACCAAATCCCGGAGTCAGTCGGAAGCCAAATTGACTTCCTGGCTGGGTGAATCCATCGTTCTGGCTGGGGGACGCCAGGCTTCATGTAGAAACTTATCTGCTAGGGTCCCAGGTTCATTCTCAAGACCAGAACGTCACGGCCGGGTGCTTCCCATGACAGTCAAAACAGGGCAGAGTCGGTCTTCGGAGGCCCAAGACAAAAAAGCCTGTCGGCCAATCGGGCAAGCGAATTGGATTTCTGCTTGCTGCGGGAGACAGCCGGTTAGCCTCGTCTAGGCTGGTGTCCTCTCTTCCAAGCGATGTGGATCAAACTACTCATGGCAGGCAGAAATGTTGGCAGCAGTGGACAAGAACACCCGAATTCGTTGTAGCGAGCCCAGTACTTGCGAGGACTTGTTTCAGGTTTGGTTTGCACAGCAGATGCCGACAGATGCGCGCAGTGAAAGTTTGTCGTCAAGCACTTGACCTGCTTGCTGATTGCTTCAGGTAATGTCACCGCGATTGGCATCAGCACAATTCCCCGAACATCTGCTATTTGTAGCAGCAGGGGCTGCACCTTGTCCATGACGAATTTGGCTCCATCGACAACATACACAGTGTCCGAAGCTTAGCTAGTACACGTCTCATTTCAGGTCGTTCACAGACGCACATGCTTAGTTTGCCTTTGTTTGTGATCACAGATCTGAGACCACCGAGGTCATGTGAAGCTGAAGCAGATGTCCGACACAGAAGCAAGCGCTTGGCTACCCTCCTGGTCAGAACTCTCGATCCATATGTTCCTCCCGCAACGCCGGCACCGACTCGACCACCACTGGATCTCACTGAGCCAGAGTATGCCCTGGAGAGCTCGGCAGCTCCTATCCTGTTATCTCCGCATGGTGACCCTCCCTGGACATGGTTACCTTTCGTTGCAGGTGCGGCAGCCTGCCTTTCGCTTTTCCCGTCGCTTCAGTGCTGCACCAGTGGCAAGCGATCAGCTGTGCTTGCATCACTCGAGCTTCCGCATACTTTCTGGCTGGTTTGGGAGCTTGTCTTGGTAGCAGATGCTGCGCTCGGTGCCGTTTTCCTCTTGGATCTGCTGAACAGCCGCTACGAGCGGGAAGCGCCATATTGGGATGAGCTTAGCCTCTTTCAAGCTGCCGTTTTGACATATCAAGCAGCTATCCACGGCCTTGCATTTCTGTTTTTCGGATTCTTTCCGTCGGCTATGCGCTGCCTCGCTCATGAGCTTGGTCGAGATCGCCCAGGCCACAACTGGACACTGCTCCGACATAAGGGAAGACAGCACCGCACTGGTGTCAAGAGCCACAAGTCGTCATTGCCACCAGAGTTGGATGCGCAGCAAAACCCTTCAGCCCTCCACTTTCTTCCAGCAGCATCGCTCTTGGCAGTCTGCCAAGCCAGCGACCATGACATGCAGCTTGTTGTGCCACGAAAGTTTGGAATCAACAGCATTCATTTGTTTGCTAGCGCAGTGCAAGCTGCCTGCGCGGCATTTTACGCATCTCACTCCTGGCCAATGCAAGCCTCCTTAGGAGCAAGCATTGCCTGCATGTGTACGTTTGTTGTGATGGGCATCTTTGCATCCTTGGCAATGTTGCGTGTGTATCAGATTAACAAAGAGGGTCTTGTACAGCTAGATGCCAGGCTGGAAGCGCAGGCAATCCAGTCCCCCGGGCTACGCTCTGCGTCTGCTGGGGGATCTGCGCCGCTGCCACCCAGAGTTGGCCTACAGGGGCCCCCTTCCCGAGGTGCTCGGCCTCTGGGCAAAGCCCAGGGCAATGGCAGAACTTGAACTCGAAACAACAAAATAAGCGGTTGAAAGCAGAAGTACTTTGAGTGGAAGTCTGCAACGACTTCCTAAACGGCCTGGAAATACGGGTAGGCTGAAGAAAGTCAAGCAGAGCGGGAGTGATCTCAGGTTGATGTGTCATGTTCAATGAAAGCAAGTTTGGCTTCAGATCCATGCAGAAGAGCACATCCTACTTTATGAAGCAACCGAAATAAAGATCAGGCGGCAGTCCAATCATATTCAATCACGCAGGGGTTTCTGTGATGCCGCGCGCCACTTTTTGGCAGAGCTTTAATATGGCTCAGCACTGTGCTACCGCCTGCACGGAGAATCTGCCGCCGAGGATGCTGTGGGCATTTCTGAATCGAAGACAGGACCCCACCAGGGACTCACAGCCTCTGTGATAAGGGCTTCAGCAGGCGCCCGAAAAGAACCGGCGCTGGAGCTCGGAGGAGGTACCAGCCCACCAGCCCCACACGGGTTAGGCAGCAATGGATCATGAATGATTCCGAGAGTCAAGCACACGAAGCATCACGAAACCATTATCATGAAACCATTCCAACATCTTCTAAGCAGCGAGATCGACAGGACGTCAGATACTAGCAAGAAAGCGAAACTTAAAGGAGGCTGCGAACCCCTGCAAGCCAAGGCCAGATAAAAGGCCGACATGTTAGGACTCGACGGAAGATTCCAGGACACCTTTCAACAGGCCGAGGAGTCCGCAGCTGTTCAGTTTTCAACAACGAAAACTCAATTGAAGCGACCTGCATTCCTGCTCTGACATGATGTTCAGACTTCGCTCCTGTCGAAAACCCGAGTCCAGGATGCTTCGATGCACTCGGACGGAGGCCAGAGAGGCGACCGCTGAAGCGATGGAAGCAGCTACAATTGCTGAGCGGAGCATCCGTGACGCAGCAAAGTCTCAAAGAGGCCTCTGCGGATGTCAACGAGGCTACAGCACCTGTCGGCGAGACAGGTCGGACAGCAATGGCTTTCTCTGCACAAACTGAGCTTCACTGAAGGTGGAAGCTCAGGAGCTTCGCCTGCTGTGCTTGTGCAGTTGTGGCAGGCCTCTTACTCCTGCCATGGTTCTCAGTGCTAGCAGCTAGCTGGCCCTGGCTGCTATGACAGTGTCGCCAATGCAAGGTTTCGTCATCCTGGATAGCTCTAGACAAGTTGGCCTGGTGCTTTGGTGGAGGTGATGTATCTGCAATGGTGTCACGTTGCATCGCAAGCTCATCCAAACCACAACACAGGCGGGATGGCTTCGCGAAACTATGCGAGGGCCCACCTTCAACAACGGCAACTGTTTGGGGGATTTCTGGACGGCCAGCGGTACACTAGCACAGCTGAGTATTCCTGAGTCACCGTGCAAAGCGCCTTGCTGGCCAGGACCCGAGTGACTGGCAGCGAGACAGCTTCGTCAGATTCCTCAGCCACTGCAAGTGACTGCAAGATAATTACTGGAACGATCGAGTGCAAAAGTCGAAGGTTGGGGAGGCTTTGAGTCTGTGGCTGCCTTCGTATCCGCCGAAGACAGAAGTTGTTGCACTGGAAGTTGAACCTTCCAGTGACAGGCGTTCGGAGCCCTTCAGTGAGCATGTAAACATACAGCCTTCTGCCGCAGGTATTGGTCGTATCTGAAGCCAGAGAAATGCCCCAAGCTTGGATCGAGAGTCAAACATGTAGCATGACTAGCTATGCCTGCCAGCTTCTGCAGTCTTGACAGGCAAGTGGTATATGGACAAGATCGTAGCGGTTGGCGAGAAAGTGGGTGATCTGGAAGAGAGAACTTTGATGTTCATGAAAGCCGTGCGCTCCCCACCTGATCTGCTTCGCATGGCAATGCGCATTTCCTCGAATTCGAAAGTCGGCACTTTGCCGACGGCGCAGACTGCGAACGACATGGGCGCGGATTTCCAAGCTCTTACATGGAAGAAGGCACTGTGCCGGAGCCGCTTCAAGTATTGTATCAGCTGGAGCGCAGGCCGGGGTCCCCGCAGAGATCCAGCTTGGCTCCATTGTCTCAGCCTCATGTCACGGGCATCAGTAGACCAGAACCTGTGTCAACAGTGACAGGACATTGGCCTCATGTCGGACGGCACATTCACAGAGTTGGGCGCGAAAGGTACTGAGGTGCGCAGGGCACCGTTCTGGACAAGCTTATCATAGAACTTCAGTGCTTGTGCAGCTGTGCATGACCAGCCTAGAACCGGAGGATTTGTCAGCAATGTTCCTACATTCCGTATTCCCTGGATCGGATTTGGGAGCAGTGCGGGTTTTCTAGTGGATGGATTGTGACGACGGCCGCCAAGACGGTTGCATCAGTGTGTTCGACACCAATGTGGGGCTTCAGGTTGGTATAGCCACCGAACAATGCTCTTTGTAAAGGATTGTAACGCCACCAGAGTTCTGCTTCCGTGGCAGCAGTTTAGATTAGACGGAAGCGAGACCAGTTGAGCCCTGCTTTCGCATGACGCGTCAACAGGTTGCTTCCAGAGCTACAGGATTACATTGAGCCACCGGAGTTTAAAGCATTGAGCATCTAATGTTCAACGCTTCGCGTCGTCCGCCTCTGCCCGGCTGTACCTGAAGCAGGTGCCTTGTGTTTCGGAAAGCAAAGAGTAGGTCATGCAGATGAGGTCTTGAGTGAATGAGCGCATCTGCTTTTAATGTCAGCATTTGTCATCATGCTGAGGCCCTGAGCAATATTCCCACGTGAAAGGTGGCACATCCCGTGCATTATCCCAAGATGTTACTATAATAATGGCATGAAACTTTCACTGGTCTCGTATACAACCTCCCATACATTGGAAGAGGAATCAAGATTTGCAACGAAGAACAAAACACAGCCCCCAGAATTCCCAGGCTTTGGCATCAGCTTGACGAATGATGTAAGCGAGCCCGTCTTGCCTCCCTGCAAGGTGGGGGGGTTGGAGGGGGGGGGGGTCGGCCGGGGCCGAGGCGAATGAATTCCTCCCAGCTAAACAACTTGCAGTGGAGCATAGAGGTTCACTTTACAAGCGTATTTTGAGACGCTGAGATGTCGACGAGTTTTAATCATTGACGAGCATCCGCTGTGGCAAGTCTTGCAGCTTCTGTCTTCGCCAGGATTCGCGGCAGCTCCGCATGTCATGGCTTCTCTGATGATTTCTGCACTAGTGACACTCACTTCGGTAGCACTTCTTGCTACGGGTGTGCTCCGAGTGTGTCCCATGGATCTTCGGATAGACTGACTTGTGTAGATGACTGTGTCTGCTGGGACGGAACACAGCCTCACACACTCTCTTTTCTGCTCGGGCTACTCTATCTGTCTGCTTTGGTCTGCCTCGTCTCTGGCATCTGCGCGGGAAGTTGTCGTGCACGCAAACGACTGCTCTTCAGCTTGTAAGACCATGTGGTCACGTGGGAAGCAAACATATGCAGTGGAAGGAGTGATGGACATATCACTCTCCACCTGCAAGCGTAAGCATAGTATGATAAGTGTGCCCGGCTTTGTTAGCACAGAATAGCTTAGCTGTGCATGGATACATGGTTCTCATGCCATGGAAGCTTCGATACGCACCTGTCACCTGCGAGACCTGTTAAACTACAAGTGGATCGGGAGCACTTACCAGATGCGCAGGTTGTGCTGACATGATGCTATGAGATCGAGATACATGCGCACACGGCAAGGTGTTGTGTCAGATGAGCATGGTGACCTCACACGGATTGTAAGCTTGTATCATGTATCAAGCAGAGCCTCCGAGCACGTCTAACTACAAATGCCGCAGCTTCAGCACTTTGAAACGATGCGGCCTTCCAGCACCAAGTCTGCGCCGACAGTCGCCGAAACGTGAAGGTCTTGGGCCACCCTCTGAGACATCTTAGACTCACGGAGCCTGCTTGGTGAGCATCCATGAAGTCTGCAGAGTCATGTCGTTCATGTCCTGCGGCAGAGTGGTCGTGCATGTAGCCTCTTCGCACATGTGCATTGCCCAGCGCCTGTTTTGCACATGCGATGTAGTTTGTCTTTGTTTGCAGTCGGCAGGCGGCGTTGAGGCGGATGTTCCTCATGCTAAAGGACAGCATAGATGTGCATCGCGTGCACGTTGACGCCTTCCATTTTGGCCTGCAGAACTCCGGGCGCTTCTTCGTGATTGCAAACACCGATGACGAGCAGGTCATCGCCTTCCCTGGTCAAGTTAATAAGATACATGAGGCATTTTTCGGTGATACGAGCTGTTGCATGACCATTTGTGCTCTCCTTGACTTCATGCTTTCGCATGGCCTGGTTGTGACGGATTCTGCCGTAGATGCCACGCCGCAGTTTGGATTTCGAGAGCAGCTGGTGCTGGGTTTCGAGCCTGCGGTCTTGAAGAGGGTTGGATGGCAGGCCATGTGTTTTAGCTTTTTGTCATATGGGCATCATATTTAGGTGCTGGTTGTAAGACCCTGCACAGATACAAGCAGCAAAGCGCGACAACGGAGTCGTCGTCGATGTCTCAGCAGATGCTGCGCTCCGTAATTTCACAACTCAGCAGTTTCACTCTGCACTCAAGGTTGCATATTTGGCAAAGCGTCGGGCGCCTGCTTCTAAGACTTGTCCCTGCTGGAATAGCTTCGGGCTTGAGATTGGTGGATCATTTACAATGCTATCCGACCTAAGGACAGGTGCCAAGAAGTCGCGAAGGATAACCAAGCGCTGAGCAGTCAAAAAGCCGTTCAGGCAATGGCCATCACACAGATGTCGGCCTGCTGACAGTCTTCAGCAAAGAGCGATATTCCATCGTTTTCATGACTGCTGGCTGTCAAGAAGCTGCAACCATTGCGATTTGACAACACACACGATGTTCAATCGGCAACTTCAAGGAGATTTGAATGCTAGAGCTTTCATGCAGGAGCTCAGTCGTGCTAAGTACTGTAACAAATGCATATGTGGATCCGCTCGATTCTTTGCAGCTTCGAGAGCCGGCGATGCAGCCAACAGGCAGTTCAGCAGCTCACAGCACGGCACATTCCCAAGTGCAGAGTTTTGGAGTCCCTGCCAGGCGAAAGCCGTTTCCTCTTGGCTTTTCTAGCTTTGACTTTGCCTCAGCATTCCGGGACATGGAGTTGGCACAGGCACAAAGCACCACACAGACTCAGCTCTGAGTCTGAGTTGCTACTGCAATCACTTTCCGAGGTTTGCTGGTTGCATTGCCTCTCTTTGTTTGCAAGCAGACTGGCGCAGCGGGTGTCTTCCTTGCCGTGTCGCTGCCAGTTATTTATGTACTGACATGACTGTGAAAGGTCTGCTTGGTATGCCCTCCTATACACCGAGCTGTTTGTGCTCGCATTTATTCTCGTCGAAGCCCCAGCTTGGATGTTGGACAGTATGTTTGAGAGGAGTCTTCGCCTTTGAAATCCCTTGCCACAGGCATGGCTGCAGAAAGCTCTTCATCTCCTGTCAGGAATGCCTCGCAGAGAGGCCTTTGTGTTTCTCTTGCAGGAACGGGACGGGGCTTCTCAAGTAGGACGCTCTACATATCCAATGAGGGTTATGCCAAACAGCCATCACAAGTGATAGGGACTGCTGCAGACTCCAGTGACCTTGATGCACTGACCATGGTAGACTCTTGGACTCCCGGGAGAAAGCGATGCAAATCGTGGGAAGTGGCTCCGAAGTATCAACTCAACCCTCCTGCCCCGTGGTCTGTGACGAGTGCTGAAAAAAGCAAAAAGAAGAGCAGCGCGACATAATACCAACCACGGAAGGCGATCTCAGCAAGACAGCGGTTTCCAGTGCCCAGCACACGCTCACAATGACACACACTGATCGAGCAGATGGCAAATTTGAAGAGGCTCGCACAAACGCCACAGGGAGAAACGAACAAGCTTGATGTTTGCACCGCAAAGACTAGGTAGCTTTGGCTGGAGTATGGGTCACCTCCGGGCCCAACAGGTACATCACACTGTCGAACAAGGGTGTTCGCTGGCCGGAGTCGTGTCAAAGTGTCTGAGACTTCACCGTCGCCTGCTGGATAACATCGCAGCTAACTGTCGTCGAGGATTACCGAAAGCATGAGGCTCGCATCTGATAACGGAATTCCCGAGGGCAGGGCCGAAGATGGCGACGTTTAGCAGTGCTTGATTCCCGAGACGTGCTGCAATCTGCTTGCCGTTCTGTCCAGGTTTTTGACGAGGCCACTGGCTGAGAGCCTCGGATGCTGGTCCGTAAAGCTTTCGACGATTGTTGATGCTTCCAGGTTTTGGGAAGACTTTTGCGTCAGCCTTGGGAGTCTCCGAGCCCCACCCCTCGAGCGCTTTATGTCCCGGCGGAATCCAGGACGTGGCGGGTACACCAAGCTGTGGGAATTGCTTCGCTCGGTGCCGCAACCGAAAGGGCAAAGTGGGCAGAGGCAGAGCTTGTGAAAGTGAGCACGAGCGAGGTCTTCGAGATCCCGGTCTTGTCCTGGTGTCCTGGTGTCCTTGATGCAAACTAGCATCCTATCTCATGTAAAAGCGCTCCGAAAGCCAAAATGCCCAGGTTGGTCTTGTCCACTCTCACGGAGGCACGCACGAGTATCGAATGCATGCGACTGTAAGGCCCCCGCCTTGAGCATCTAGAGGCCGCAGGAAGTGCAATCGACAGCTTTCTGAAGGCAGGTGCCGGGGAGTCTGCTTCGAAAGAACGCTGTCATCCTCTTTTCGACAAGGCGACTTCTGAGAAAAAGCGCGCCGGAGAAGAGCTCCTCGGGAGGAGGGGCCCTCTCAGGAGTTGAAAGTTGAAAGCCTCTGCTCGCACTTTGCACAGCTCCCAGTTGCAGGAAACAGCGTCCTGCCGCCGCGCTTCAACGCGTCTTTGCCGTTACAAGTGCAAGCTGCCACCGAAATCTGGCGAATACCCTTGCCAGGTTCGGAGCTGCTGCGGTTGGTACAGACTGTGGCAGCCGACACTCTGGCCATCCCAATCGGACACTTGCCACTGGCACGCTACTGACGGCTTCAGGGACACGGGCGGAGTAGTGTGATTATTCCATCTGCAGAGGCGGCTCCTCTCGGTGCCGACTCAGCGACGGTGCATCACTCGGGATCGAAGAGTCTCACATGCATGTTGCTAGGTTCAACTAGCTTCTGCAGGCAGTGCGTTTCAGCGTCGCCTTGGAGAAAGAGCTGAAAGCAGGCAATACGGCAAGCGCTCGAGTCGGTTTCTAACTGCGGTTGCTCCATGTTGCTCCTGCCTGATCTAGATCTTGCTGGGAAGAAACTGCCGGCGACGCTCCTCTTCGACTTCCCTACCTTGACCGAGATTGCGGAGGGCCGCTCACTCAGACGGTCTCACAAACCTGCCGCACTCCGCTGCATTCAGGCCTTCCAGAACTACTCGCTGGCAAATCTGCGAAGTCGGTGCATGCGCAGCAGGCTAGGCTTGCCTCACAGGAACGGGTTCAATCCCCACCGAGCCAACGCCCCCGACTCCATACACCTCCTCAGCCCGACCCAACTGAGCCCTTGGCCACAAGTGCATGCCGTCCGTGGCGTCATGTCTTGACTGGCTGTGTCTCGACGATGCGGCGCCGCTTCCAAATAGCTTGCCAGACGCTGTCAGCGATTTGCCTTCGTTGGTAACGATGCAGCCCCCAAACCAGACTGGAGTGAAGGACTAGAAAACGCGACCATGTTGAACAACTGCCTGCAAGCGGGAGGCAAAGGTGAGTTGGACAAAAGACGAGAGTTTATGGAAGCCTTCGAAGCGCGTCCTCTTTTTCGCTCTTTTCTTTTGTTTGGGTTGTTGCAAAGGTCCACGGTCTGTTGAACAGGTTGGGTCCGCGGATCTCCTCATCTCGGCTTTCAGCTGCGAGCTGCCCGGGGCGAGCGACTGGCAGGTGCCATTCAGGGGCCCATGCCGAGGGCAAAGGGCCGAGGGCGAGGGCCGAGGGCAGAGCCCTGCTGGGTATCCCCCCGGGCCACGAGGAGATTTGGCCAAGACTGCAAGCAGAGGCGCCTGCACAAATGCCCGACATCCTTAGCCTTCGTCACCTTAGTCTTTGTTTGCCAGAGGTGGATGATGTTCAAGAAGTTCCTATCTGCAGGCAAGGAACCACAGACAGCCTCCACATGTGGAATTTGCTGCCATGTTTGGGAGGTGGGATTGGGCTGATGCCGAGATGCCTGGTGAGAAGCTCGGGTTGTTTGGTTGGGAAGTGCTTGCCTATGTTCGATTTGTTCCGTCGGAGGCGCTCGCCATGGTAGCTTTCTTGAAGGGGCAGACCTTTTCGACGCATCCTTCTTTGGTGCCTGGCCAAGTGCTCTCAACTGATTTGGGCTCAGTCCGAGTCCTGTCTCCCTTTTCCGAGGCCTTCAGTCAGCGGAAGCACAGGCCGGCGGACTCTCTGTTTCTAAATGCAAATTGTTCTTTGACGGCAGCATCGTGTACCCGTATAGCTTGATGTTCTGCCAATTTCGAGAAGGCTGAGGCACGAGTATGCACAAGTTTTCTTGAAGAAGCCGCTGTGTCTTCTTGACACAGCGTTGTTCGACGAGTTTGCGGTTTGCTACTTCGCATTGGGTACAGATCAAGCTGCCCAGTCGGGTGCAACAACAGAGTCGTCGCGAAAGATCACGGTTCATTCAGAGAAATGTAGTGCCTTGCGACCATCATGAAGGCGATACACATTGACAAGTCAGAGTTAAGCTGCCGAACTTCCAATGAGTCCACTTGACACATGACAGACCCACTCCGTGAAGCAGCCCTCTGTGCCACAGCAGAAAACCTGCTCAGGTTTTCGCCAGCAGAAGCCAGCGGAAGGATCCATTACGCCCACTAGACAATTCGATGACGGTAGCCACGAGGGCCCCAAGGCAGCTCCCCAGAAAACTTCCCGAACAACTGGCCTACAGTCTGTATGTGTGGCATTGCAACTTCTTCGAGGGAGTGCAGTAGCCCAAAGTCACTAAAAGCAGTGAGGCCACGGACCCGCAGCAGCGATTGTTGCATGCAGCTCAGATGGCAGCAACATGGGTGAAGGAGAGAACATATGTTCATCTCCTCAGGCTGCGCACAAGTTACAAAGCGCTGGCCCAGTCTGGACATGACAAGGTGGCAGAGATTTCGAACCTTCGTGTGTATCGAAAGTCATCTGAGCAGGGAACATTGCTTGGAGCCCCGCACGGGGTTTTTGCAGCAGTAAGCAACCAGGAGAGGGATCATGCAGTCACTTGTGGAACATGGGCAGATGCAACATCGTGCGAGGACTGGTACAGTTGGTCGTTCGGCGAGGAGCGCGCGACTAGCGCATTTACAGGCCATACGAGGCCTTTAGAGATTCTTGAATGTATCAACATCGCTGGTATGGATGCAGGTACTGGGATCGCTGCGGCTTTGGCTTCAAACCGCATATCGTTCTCGCTGGGGCTTCGCGGGCCCAGTATGACGATCGACACTGCGTGTGCCCCGTCACTGTGCGTATGAGACCGGTCATGTGGGAAACGGCACCGCAGTTGAGGTCAGCAGCTGTCCCAAGCCGAAGCCCTTTCGCCTAACAAGTAGAAATCGGGCAACGGGCCCTGGAACATGAGCACTGCACCCGTCCCGTTTAAACGGACAGAAAAAAGCTTCTTCAAAGAAGCCTTCTCTGCCCTCTGCAGGCTCATCGTCGCTGACAGCTCTGTCAGCAGCAGCATCGGCGCAGCTGCAGCGCCCAGCTGCTTCAGGCAGTGTCAGCCACCTCATACAAAACCCAGAAGCCGTTGCTGGTGTGGCGACTGCTGAATGTGCGAGCGACGCAGTCGAAGACGATGAGGTGATGATGAGATGATGATGATGATGATGGTGATGAGGTGATGTTGAGATGATGATGATGGTTGATGATGATGATTTTTGATGATGATGGCAACAACTGTACTGACGATGTTGGTGAAAGCAATGCTGATGGGTACATGTGGCTCGTGATGTTGTCAGAGAAGAGCATGTGAACGGTTTGGTTGGTAATGATAATCTTAATCATCATGGCCACAATTGTCATGAGAAGGATCAGTCATGATGACGAGGGGTGATGCTGAGGAAGGGTGATACTGCTGATGTTGGTGTTGATGACCATCATCATGGTCAGCATCATGGCCACCATCAGACACCATCAGATCACACAATCATTGATCGTGCTGATTCTGCTCATTTTGACGATGCCAGCCATGCTGATTGACAAGACCATAGTGGTGGCTATGGCTGAGATCTGACTTTGACAATGTTGATTGCAGTGGTGGCTGTGTTGGTTACGGTGTCAGATGACGGTGATGCCTACGGAGCCTCAACATCGGAAGCCGCTTTTGCTGTGGTGACTGTAATGTGGTGATGAGGTCAATACAACTGCTGCTGTTGGTGACACTGGTGATGCTGATGATGATGGCGACGACGACCTTCATGGTTTGGCTTGGCCGAGACCATCACCATCAGCCTTGAGGATGGTGACGGCAACGTCAATGTCGAACTGTCAGAGTCGCTCAGAGTGCCATTGATCGTTCTGGCGCAGCTAATGGTAATAGTGAAGATGAACACGAAGATGATGATTGGGCTGCTGATGACGGCAGCGATGGCCAGAATGATGATGTCGATGGCAGTCGATTCGCCATAGCGGTGGTGACAATGGATCCTCTTCGCTAACCGTGGTGTGGTGATGATGTTGTGACGAGCCGAATAAGATGATGATACCATCGATGATAGCGTGGTGCTGTTGGAGAACAGCATAAATAAAGAAATGGAAGAAGAAGAAGAACAAGAAGAACAGGAGCACCAACTACAACTATGCTACAGGTAAAGACAATGGTTTTGACAGTATGACCCTGGTGGCGGTGATGATGGGGGGTGATGACGATGATGCACAACTCGACCTTGGCGTGTATGCAGAAGCGGCGGTATCTGACAGCAATGGTGAGTGTTGGACTTTCACCGGCATCTTCTTTGATCCATTCCTGTTCCGTGGTGGCAGAAGCTTGTTCCAATCGGGGAGTCTGATCGCAGGTCGTGCATCTCGCCGGCGCATCCGGGAGTCTGCAGGAGTCACAGCAACTCTTTGTCCGCTTTTCTTTCACTAGGCTGCAGCGACCACAGCTGTAGACTGCCGCTGTGTTGCTGTGGAGGGCAGCATTTGTCAGTACGGATTCGTGTGTTCGAAAATGGCATGTCCTAGCAGATTCGGGCACATTTTATCGAGGTTGCTGCAGGGTGCGAACTTCTGCGGTGGACCCAATGATTGCGATTCCAAGTATAGCCTGGCAGCAGACGTCGCCCGTGCTCGGTGGATCCGCAGGCTCGGCCCCAAATCCATGCAACTGCGGCATGCTGCGGGGATGCTATCGTGAAGATCTGAGCCTGCACAGACGCTTCGCGACTGACCGAGTTTAGTGACTTACAACAGGTTTGAGCTCGCATCGTCTCTCCAGCTTCAACAAGATCACAAGATTCTCCGTGGATGCTTGAAAGCCTGGCGTTGTCCAAAAAGCGGCAGCCTTCAAAGACCGTTTTCTCTCAATCAATGAAACGAAGGCAAGATAGCAATTGATACTTGACTCCCAAGCCCGGCATTCTGAGCAGCATAGCTCCCAACCCATGAAATCTTGCAAGATCGGAGAGGGTTTCTCCGGGCATGTTGGTTTCCCATGTCCTTTTGGAGGGCCAACTCGGATCTGCGAAAAAGGCAGTGCTGCCACGAAGACGGTCCGGCAACACATGCCTGGATGTGCCCCACCGGCTGGCTCAATGCCGGCAAGACTTGTATGCAGATCTAGGGGGTTGTGACCGAACACAGACTTATGCCCATCAAACCAGACCTACTATGCCCTTAGAGTCTGATGACTCGATGTGTGCACTTGAGGTCAAGCGGCCGTTGCAAGACCTTCAACTCAACCGCGGACGGCTACGTCAGGCCATCCCAGCCGAGAAACTCAAGTACCCATCCGGATCAACAGCGCAGCTATCATTGATTCGTCGTGTTGTTTCACAAGTCTTTTGTGCTGCACGTGATCCTAGCGTGCTTCTGTGTACATACACATACATACATACATAGTGTGTATGCATGAGTATGCGTGTATGTATGTGTGTGTATATATATAAACCTCACTGTGCTAACGCAACGGAGAGCATCGGAGTGTAGTGCACCACGTATTTTTCTCACCTGTTTTCGGCGTGAGTGGATGGCTCGAGCTCGCAGCGCTCGAGCTAGGATGCCATTCCCGGCCCTTGGATCTCCGCTTCAGCGGACCCAGAGGCATGGGGCAGCCTGTCGCTGCAGACAGGCGACTATTTCGAGTACGTGACTTACGACGGGAACCGCGTCAAGCCGGGAACAGTGTTGGCGCGCGTTGATGCGCTGAGCGAGCGCAAGTCGAAAGGCCAGTGGCTGGAAGTGACCATCTTGGCAATGAGTGATGATCACCTGAGTTGGCGGCTCACGGATGGAGCCGGGAAGGACGACCACTGGCAGTTCGAGCTCCATCTCTGTAATCTACAGAAAGGAGCTGCAAGCAAAGCAAACGTGGCAGAGCAATGGACTTCCACTCGGAAAAGCTGAGGATGATCCCCATAGGGGATCTGGCCGAGAGAAGATGGTCCGAAAAGGAAAACACCCCGAGCCTTGGACTTCGAAGAGGGCAGGGGCTGCCACAGTCCGTGGAGAACGCCGCGTTCAGGGGTTTGTCCAAGCTAGGCACGCCTAGCGGCACAAGAAGAAACGGGACCAGGGTGATGACTCCGAGGGAGGTGGCTGGAGATGAGAAGAGAGAAACAAGAAGCCAACGGAAGAAGGTGCGTGGAGACACCGCCCACGGGCGTGCTAGCTCCGCTCCGGCAAGGGCAGGCGAAGGAGCAAAGTGGCTTGGCCAGCCCGTGGCGAAGGACTCCCAGGACGGCAGCAGTTCCGAGACCTCGGCGGCTACAAGCACCACGTCGAGGAAGAAAAAGAAGAAGGCGAAGAATAAGTCAAGGGCGCCGAGCCCACTTCTACAGGGGACCGACCAGTGCAGCATCACCCACACCACCGCTCAACAGCGGCTCCTGGCTTCGTACTGGCGAGTGGCATTGCCAGGGTGTTAGCCTTCGGGTTGGTTAACGATTGGGATGAGTTGGCTCCGGGATCTTCACTATTTCTGAGCTCCAAAGGGCGGCGTGGTCCTCCCACGGAAAAGACTTCTACGGACGAGCTTTGGGTCTGTAAACTAGTTGGGGCATCGATCCCCTCTTTTGTTTTGGTGCACCACGTATCACCACCCCCTTGTGGCTTGAAATGGGGGGGAGGGGGTGAGGATCTGAAATATTTCAGGGCAGGTTCGGTCGAGGTGGGGGTTAATACCTGGCGGGTGGGGGTCGGGCTTGAAATTTCAGGGCTTTCTTGGGATATCGAGTCATTCTCCATTTCAGGAGAGTTGCCGCTCGCTTCCGCAGGACACCGGCTTAGAGACGTGCCTATTTATGTTTTGGCCTCCTTGGTGTGGGCGCCGGTGTATTTCTGATAGAAATCTACGATTTCCCCACCATGCGGGGCTCCAGTGACCTTCGTTCTTAGGCTGCTAAGAAATCTACTAAATTCCTACTATGCGGGGCTATGGTGGCTTCCTTTATTAGGCCGCTACTATATTTCGTTTAGAAATCTATTAAATTCCTACTGTGCAGGGTCATGTCAATGTGCTCCTTTCACAGCCCTTTCCCCCAGAAGTTTCCTGCAACAACCCTTTCCCCCGCCCCAGGTACTTCAAGCACACAAAACAAGAAGCGGTTGCCATGCACAGATCTGCGGAGCCCAGCCTACCTATCTCCCCCTCCGCGCACCCCGGTTGAAATTTCACGGAACCTTCACCCCCCCTAGGCTCTATTCTGTTTCATGCGGGTGGCTGAAACGGATTCAGCCTTATAAGGAGGAGGGGGGGACCTCACCCCCCCCCCCTCGACAAGGGGGTACCGATCACCACGTGTTTTTCTCACGTGTTTTCGGCGCGAGTGAATGGCTCGCCGCCATACGTACGTATATGTATGCATATACATGTACACACACATATATATATATATATATGCGTGAGTGTGAGTGTGTGAGAGTGTGAGTGTGTGTGTGTGTGCGTGTGTGTGCATGCGTGCGTGCATGCGTGCGTGAGTGCGTGCGTGCCTGCGTGCCTCTGCGTGCCTGCGGGCGTGCGTGTGCGTGCGTGTGCGTGCGCGCACGTGCGTGTGCGCGTGCGCGTGCTTGTGCGCGTGCGTGGCGCGTGCGAGTGCGCGTGCGCGTGCGTGTGCACGTGCGTGCCTGCATGCCTGCGTGCCTGCGTGCATGCGTGCATGCGTGCGTGCATCTGTATGTGCACGTAGATGTGTACATGCATGTTTGTCTGCCTGCCTGCCTGCCTGCCTGCCTGCCTGTCGGTAGGTGTGTATGTATGTATGTACGTA